ATTTGTTCTCTTTCCCCAGATGGCAGCCCGAGAATATCTTGTTCTTACGCAGCTGCCGGGGAGCAAAAAATTGATCTCTCTTTTCTGCCTGCCTGTTTCCTTATTTATGCACTGGCATCCAGGTGACTGCGCACCTAGGAAGCTGCAAGAAAATAGCTGGGTGCTGCCATGCGAGCAGGAAGAGCAAAGCAAATCGTGGCTGCTACAAAAATAGATGCTTCTTCTTCATTCCTCCGGGACAGAGATTTCTTTTGCAGGGAGGGAAGGGGGGCACTTATTCAGAAGGTGGAAGATGTTCCCAAATTGCTATGAAAAGTTTCAAGGCAGCCCTATCCAGGGATTAAACTTCTTGGAAAGCTGCATTTGATTCCAGTGTGGTTCAGAGAGGAAGACTTCTTAGCATGATGCTGTTTTCCTTTGCAGACAGCAATGACTCCTCTGAACTCCTGACAGGCAGGTGGTTTTATCTTGCTCTTAAGAGAAAGGGCGCGGAGAAGCTAGGTGACTTGCCTGAGGTGATGCAGTGCAGCAGTGTGAGGGCTACGTGCAGTCCTTCTCTCCCCTGCTCTAATCACCAATTTCCCTTGGAGGCTGTCATTTGCATAAAAAGGGCTATTGGAAATGACAGGTGAAGAAAGCAAGCCATGCATGAAATGCACTCTCAAGTATATTAATAGGAGGCTGCCAGGCAGAGTGGAACAAGGCATTTGATCGCATCGTCTTAGGCCCGTTGTCCGGGCTCGTTTGCATCCAGCCCTGTGCTCTCTGCCAGCTTCCTGGCTGGAAGGGAAGGCTCGGATTTGCCTGGTGTCTCTAACCCGTGCCGGGCTCAGCTGCAATCACGCAGAGCATTGAAAGAAATCCCTTTGAGTCGGGATTCATGCCGAACGTGTAAAACCCAGACAAATGACTGCTTCTCCAAAGTGAATCCCATTTCACAGCAAATAGGTTATTAGTGTGGAACTCCACACAAGTAGCCAGCATTCAAAAGCCCTCTGCATTATTAATAGAAGATGAGCTTTTGACATCAAAAGGAGATCCATTATGTATGCTAAATGGTGGCAAAAATTGTACCCGCACTTCAAACCTTTTCAGTTCTTTGTCCCTTGTAAATCAATCAAGGTTGACAGATGCTTTAAGGAGAGTAATCTTTTCAATGATACTGTCAATGGATAACATAATGGAACATTGTCTCTGTGCTGTGTGAAGACATGGAGCTAGTCAATTATGGACAGCACTTCACGCAGCCGCCAGCTTTCACTTGAAGTGCTGCTGTTGAAGTATTATAATCCCAACAAATGGCCGCAGCAGCACACAATGTAAATGAGACCTCCTGAAGCTTTGGAAAATTAATTAGTAACAACAGTGGTCCATTCCCACACTTTCAAACATCAGCCCAATAATGCTCACGATGCTCTCCCCGTTCAATGGGGTGTATTTACATACACCATTTTTAATCTTCACCACCTTCCCCCTTCTCTCCCCCCTCCCCGACACACACAACTCTCTCACGGCGAATTCCTTTTGAGAGCATTTGATGCTGAGTTCGAAGTGGAGAATGGTTCGCATGACTCCCACTGAAAACAGTACGACGTGGGGACGCTTCCGTTTGGAAAACACTGGCAACTTTCCGCCGCTCCCTTCAATGCACGGTGCTCTTGTCTCCCGCATACCGATTCACGCTCCCCTACGGAGAGATTAATGCTTTGGATGGATGGCTGAGTGTATCCTCCAGACAGAGCAGGAGAGCAGTGGGCTGCAGGGCTGAAAATCCCTCCCCTGAGCAGACCTGCTGCGTGGCTATTGTCCTGGGACATCCCACTTTGCCCTTTTGACATGCCCCCCGTTGTAGCATGGTGGCTCACATTGCAACTGGATGCCATGCTGAATTAGGTGACAAGGCAACTGGCTGAGCTGGGGGAGCTGGCACAGAGTAATATGTTGAATGAGTTGCAGCACGCCGGATGCCAGGCTGCCAGCTACCACCATGCACAACCCGAAGCATCAGAGGAGAAAGGCGGCAGTGCTTTTATTACCAAAGGTGCCTTTTTCCTACATACCTCCCCTTTGCCAGCTAAGCCTTGAACTATAGAGGGAACCTTGCTGCATTCATTAACAGATATCAATCGGTCTCTCTCCCTCAAACGGACACAGATTTGAAATGTTTTGATGGTACTTATCTGGCCCCTATTTCCATTATGTCCACACACCTCCATATCTCAAATGGCCCCTTAAGGCAAGGAAATGCTATTGAACTGAGGCCTGGAGAAACTAGAAACTAAGAGACAGATAGGACGCAGGCACAATTTGACTGCCTGAGCCCAAGGGGATGCCCAGAATCCACCCAACCTCGTCGGTGCCTATGTTTTTGCCAGCAAAGTTTGCCAGGTACCCGAAACGCCAGCCCAACGCAGCTCCAGCTTGTCAGTGGTGAACCAGTCAGTGCCTATCTTGCCTAAGCTCCTCCAGGATCTGCAAACTAGGTGTTCCCCTGCCGGTTTCCCAGGGCCTAATTGAACATGTCTGCTCAACACGCACCTAATGCTGCAGGCTCAATACAAACACCCCATTCTCCTAACAGCCCCCCAATTTTGAGCAGGGGCTCACTCCACTGTGCACAGAGGATGCTTATTGGGCCAGAGAGAGGAAGCAAGCGTGAGCATAAGTCTCCAACCCAGTGGTATGCACACTCACCGAGCATGAGGGACGACGGTCGTCCAGCCCCCATGACAGCGTCTTATACATGATATATTACATGATCATTAGCTAAAGCCATGAGTTATGCCCACTCTCCCCTTCTCCTCCATTTGGGTTATAGCAATATTTTTTTAAAGCTAGGAGATGCGTCTTTGCACCCCATCACAAAAATGGATTCAAACATGGTTGTCTTAGATGCTGGGCAAGTGCTCTAACCACTAGGTTTTGCATGACAGTGAGCAATAGCACTGCCCCTCTGCCCCCTGAATAGGGTGGCCATCATAGAGGGAAGTCTGGTTTTCTGCTACTCTCTCCTCTATTGATACGAAACCCAATGCCTTTATGTTCTCTGTTTTTCTCTTGAAGAATAGACATTTCCAATAAAATGTCAAAACATTTTGACTATAATATATAATATAAAAGTTGACGTAATAAAGTAAAAATGAAACATTTCAACTGGATCAAAATGCAACTTTTCTATCTTCAAGAGAACAATAGAGGACATAAAGGCGTCCGGTTTCGTATCAAGAGAGGACAGAGGACAACTGGACTGTCCTCTATGATGGCCACACTACCCCTGAAAGAGAGGAGTGACCTCGCCTCTGTTTTTGAAAGAAAAGGCACCTAACTGTGGGAAGGGAATTAGAACGATGACTCTTGATTGGAGAGAGGTACTAGGTACCCTACAAAGTTGAGGCTCATGATCGACCCGTCTTTTCAGATCAGTCTGTTGCAGCGATTCTCTACCAGGGTACCGTGCCCTATACATAGGGCTGTCCCTGGGGGTTTGCAAATCGGGGTGACCACCCTGGGCCCTGCCAGCCACTCGCTACCCCTCCTCCCCACCCGCTGCCGATGGTGGTGATAGCTTCTTTGGGTCTGGGGCACATGGGATCAGAGAGGGGATGGGGCCCTGCATGGGCTGATTTGCCCCGGGCCCCCCACCCTGCTCAGGTCAGCTCTGCCTATACACGATTCACAAGATAAACCCTGAGATTTCAAGCCATAATTATAGGAATCCACTGTGTCAAAAACATTCTGACTCATGGTAGGCTTTCTGAGTCTTTGCAGCAGAAGCCTGGCTCTTTTATTTTTCCATAATCAAAAAACGAGTGAAAGCGAAGAGCTGGAATTCTCCAGGGGGGGCCTCGAGTCTAACGAGGTTGAGAACCACTGATCTATTGGCTACCACTGGCAGCTCCCTACTCAGCATGCTGTTTGCTGTGAATCCCACTCCGAGGGGCCTCCCTCTCCTCACAGCTCATGTAATGAGTCGCTCTCTCTTCCTAGCTCTCTCTTACCATTTTTGTATCACAAAGCAGCAATTCTAAAGCAAGAAGTCTTTACGGGATGCCATGAGCTAAAAATAATTTCTGTGTCGCTCTTTGAGGAGGATAAGTTAAGCTGGCATTACTGCCATCGAGAAAATGGTCTTCTTTTAGATGACCCAAACCCCTACTGTGCTGACTCGCTTGCTTTTGCATCTGATGTTGTTTCCATAAGAGACTAAAATGCTCCGATTTATTAAAATGATCTAAAAGTTTCTTTCTACTTTACTGTTTTGACTTGGATTTCATACCGTCATTTACAATAAAATGTCAAAATATTTTGACTATCATATAGAATATAAAAGTTGATATAATAAAGTAAAAACGAAACATTTCAACTGGATCAAAATGCAACTTTTCGATCTTACCAAAACTGAAGGTTCCAGCAAGAGTGAGATGAAATCATGTGTTTACACTTTTTTATGTTGCAATTTGGGACAAAGTCAAATTTGCAATATCTCAGCATTTCCTAAGGGATTTTCACTGTGTTTTTCACATATCTCTAATAGTGTACACCATGAACAAGAAAGGGTGTGCATCAGCACCATACCTAAATGCCTGGCGGCCCCGGGTGAACTTTTAGTATCAGGCCCCCCTTCAAGAGAAATAAGGATAATAATAATAAAAATATTGTTACTTTTAGGCCCCCTTTCTGTCCAGGCCCCGGGCAGCCACCTGGTTCACCCATGCCTGTGTCTGGCCCTGGTGTGCATACATGTATGTTTGCATTCATACGTGCACAAACACACACAGTTATGAGATGGGAAATCACAACTTACAACTTAAAAAGGTGTTATGAGCACTATTAATATATAAGAAGGAATCATAGTGATAGTAATAAACATTTCAATTATAATTATGGCTTTCAATACGTCTTACTTCTTCAAAACAAGACTCACAGAATCTAATTAAGCATCACATTTATCTTTTTTTTTTAAGTTAGGAGTAGAGAAAATGAAGTGAAACATTGCTTACAAAGGAGAAATCTTCAGCATTCTGGCAGAGTAGCTTTGGGAAAATAGCCTGTCTCTGAAATCTTTCCTCCTCTTCAAAGATGTTCCCATACATGAAGCCATTCATCATGGTGGAGTGGGCATGGATGTCAATATAGAACTCCAGGCTAATTTTCTGTTGAGAAAAAAAAAAGCAAACATCATGAAATAAAATCATGAAGCCATTTAAAAGGAGAAGTCTGACTTAAAAGCTATCCTTAAAATTAAACACACAGTGACAAGGTGCCCATGCTCAGGAAGCAATGCTAGTCACCTTGCTTAGCATGTATCCACATTTGGGCTTATCCAAATGATCCAGGCCTTTTCAGGTCTCCAAATCCTACAAGAAAATACAGTCCCTTGGGGTTTCTAATACATCCTACTCCTTGTCAGGGAGGAACTACTCCAGTCTGCCAAATCTAAGTTAAATCTTGAAGGCTGTCTTACTACTTCTGCATATCAAGAACACTGCACTTCAGAGAAAAAGCAGAGGAGCCGTCACCTCAGGTCTTCTTCCTTTTTGTGTGCTATTGCTTCCTATAATCCCCATTCATTTCCTGTCTGTCTTTCACAAGAGATCACAACACCTCCTAATATGGGATCTCCCATGTCCTAAGCGGCTAGTAAGCTTCACATTCTCTACCTGAATTCACTCCCCTGCATCCCAGGTGCCAGCTTGGCTGTTTAAGTAAATCAATATTCACTGCCTTGTGACAATCAAAGTTGAGGCCTCTGTCTCAGGTTTGGGGGGGTCCTTGGAAGTGCCATGCACAATCTTAAGGGAGGGTCAGGATTGTCACACACACATGACACATTGCAATTTATTTTTCTTCTCTTAGATTCTTAAATTTTCAGGCAACAAGTATGGTATTAAAAAACAAGAATCCATACATAACCAATCCCACTCCTGGGCAGGATTGCAAACTGTCCAAAAATTTGGGGATAAGTCAGTAAAAAATTAGACTAAAAATGCCTAAACAACAGGTCCTTGATTGAAGCTTCATGGTCAGAAAAAAAAGTTGAATGCAAGATGATGGGCAGACAGAGCATGAGAGTGCTTCCTGGTGGTTGAATGGGTGCACTGTACCCTAACGGGAATTTTCTCTCAGGCTTTGTAGATCCCTCCCCCCAAGCGATGTGATGTTGCTGCTGAGTCCCATCAGCTGCCAGTGACACCTTTAGGTGACAGAAAGTTTTTTCTGAGGATCTGTACTGGGACTGGAGGGAGCAGAAATGGGGGGATTAAGGCTGGAAGATGAACCGGGGGAGCAGAAAAGTATGGAGTAAGGTTGGGGTGTCAAACTTTTTTACTGCCGTTGTGTTAAACCCCTAAATTACAATCCAGCCCTTCTAACCAGGACCTGAAACCAGAGCAAGCCCTGGCACAAGAGTTACATTTATGTCGTGTAAACGTATATGTCAGTAAAAAAGTCTGGTTGTCAGTAAAAAGTTCACAGATTATCAGTATGAAAACATTCTTGTGTTGGCAACCCTGTTCCTGAGTGAGGGGAAGAAGTACTGAAATTCAGGGCATTGGATAATGACAGGAAGCATAGAGAAGAACAATAGAGCATTACCAGAAAACTCCTTATCTCTGAAACGTCATAAGCTCATTTTTTCCCATCTGAAAATCAATAGCTAATAATTCAGTTGCAATCAATACCCAGGACCACAGTCCTTTCCTTGATCTTCAAGTATATTTCCCATTGCCATCAATGAGATAGGAACAGCCATTCAAATAAAACACCTTTAAATATATGTTCCCAATCCACTAAGTCACTAGCAGTTCTCCTTACGGAGGTTAGTCAATAGTCCTTAATGGTAAATTATAGCTAAGAAAAGTGCAGCAACCATGTTTGATCCTCACAAGTTTTCACTGCACTGCTCTCTGTGGCCAACTAGAAGCCTCATGGTGATTAAGGGATAAAATGAAATAATCCTACTTGCAGTCAGCAGTAGGCAGTGGTAAATAAGTCCACTGCCATATACATCAAGATGGATAACCATCACATAATACGTTTAGTCAGCATATTATGAGCTCTAACATAGAAGTGAATACTTGTTATTTCTGAGCAGAGTCTAGGAGAGCAAAGAAGTACAAGAGAGTCCAATGTAATACAACAGCATTTCACATGACACCAGTGTCAGGTCCTTTAGATGTTCTCTAACAGAGGAAAAACATCATTTGGTATGTGATACTAATATGATACAGATTTACTTTCCCTTGGCAGTAAACCAATGTACAACATACGACGACTGTTCAGTTTAATTAAACAGCCAAGAGAGAGTAGACCTGCATCTTATTAAGTCTCTACAACACCATAATGTTAGTAACACAGTATCAATATCTGATTATTCTTTATTGGAAAAGGAGCGTTTGATTGTATTTGACTAATGCAAAGCAGTTCAGTTGCTTGCCACTGCTATATCGCACTATATTGCACTGCTATATAGAGGCCAAATATAACAATACAAGGCCACCAGGACTTCAGAAATATAGCAGAGAGAAGAAAGATTAGCATCTACTCTATGAAGTATCCAGTAGGATTTTCTTCTTTAGATAAAGCCCTGATGCATAAAGAAATGAACGATATTAAACAGGATAATTTCCCCATCAGAAAGAGAATTTGATGAACTCAGATTCTTACCACCATGTCTTAATAAAACAGCAGGTTATAACAGTAGATTCTTAAGATAGTGATTTGACATCTAAGGGGAGGCATTATCGTAGCAACCTAAGATGTGGCTATGGCACCAACCATCTTTGCATCTAAGCACCATGAAAATTTTAGATGCATCCCTACCTATACATAAAATCATATTTTTCCTCTCTATCCCCCATCCATAGGGATATATTATATATTAGGTTTTACCTGTGGCCAGGGAACCTTATTTTCAGCTGATCAGAAACTGGCATTTCCATTCTGCAGAAAATTCTGAAATTTCAAAAGAAAATTTGCTGGGGTCATCAGCCCCATCAGACTTCCTGCTCTTTGGGCAGGGGGCTGGCCCTAATGATCTCGCAAGGTCCCTTCCCACCCTACCATCTATGAAATCTATTTCATATTCTTCAAATATGGAAGAAAAATGAGATACTTTGAAGTTTCCTCTAAAAACGAAGCACCAAAGGAATCCTAGAAATGGATATGTTTTTATTTGATTTTCCCAGCACTAAATGGAGTAGATCATTGCTCTGTGATGCTGGGCTGCTCTCCAGGCAGATCTTGGAGATCCCCCGGCCCTTCAGTCCTGATTATCCAGCAGGGTTGGCCTACATTATGGAAACATTTTCCACAATACATTTCAGTTTTCATGGGTCAGCACTTTCCATCAGAAATGGTTTAGTCAGAAAATATCCCATCAGCTCAAAAGTACTGAGATTTACAGTCAGTGTTCTTAGGAAAAGGAGCTTTGTTCTCCTGAAAAACATCTCATGCATGGATACAGGATGCCTGTAAAGGTTGTACCAAGTACGGCAGAGGAATGGTTTCAAAGTGGTCCAACGCTCTACACGAGAAAGCAGTTGATGTCGAACAACTTTGACTTCCACACAGTAGCTCCTGTATCAAACCTATCAGTTCTAGTTGACCTAGGGCAGTGGGGGCCAACCTTTGGGCAGAGGTGCCCTTACCATCAAGTACTCAACCTTCTGCTTCCTGCACTGTGCTCCTTGCCTGATCTGATGCTTTGCTTTTCCCTCCGCCCTATCTGCAACTGTGCTGCCTGTCCACTCGCCAGTGCGCTGTATGCTATGCACACAAGACGTCTGTGCCACCATCCCTGATGTTGACCATCCCTGATCTAGGGCGTATATTTTAGCAAAGCAATGAACCTTAACTCATACAGCACAAGAATCCATCACACCCCTAAACAAATTGTCCCAGTACTAAATTTTCTTGTTAAAAGTTTGCAAACATCTGAATTTGTTTACTGTCATTTTAAACCACTGTGTCTTGCTATGACTTGATTTGGTAGTTCACAGAGCCCTCTCACATGGGGGATCTTCTCCAAGTAGGTCATTTTAGACTTCAGTCACCCTCCTAATCTTCTCTTTGAGAAGTTAAATAGGTAGGACTATCTATTGAGCCCCATTTAATGCTGTACTGGACTGGTAAAAGAACTGGAACATAAACTGGCAAATGTCTTCAGATAGGGAGGTAGATTAAGATCGCAAGCATGTTCTAGGAATATGAATTTTAAATAATTTAAAATAAAGTCCAAGAAAACCACGCATAGTATGTCTGAGAAGAAACAGCCATCAAAGACCTCCGTTTGAGTGTCACTGTAGCAAATTAACTGGTGTATCTCTGGTGCAATCCAGGGAGTTATTTCAGGAATGAATTAGCCTCTCTGTCACTGGGTGCCACAGAGATGGTCCTCTCAGCTCAAAGGAAGGGGAGAGAGTTTAACTTGCTGTTGGCACTCATGAATCCTGAAGTTAAAGGAAGTGTTCCTGCAGTCAGCTGGACCCCTTGTAAAGAAATGGTGCAATTTTAAAAGAATTAATTCATAATATTAAACCCAAGTTTCTCTCCATTATTGGGAAAAGCACATATAGTGCCACGTTGAATTTATTTCATAAAAGGGCACTGGTTCTGAAATATTCCAAGTTGTGGTGACCCGAGACATTTTTATTTAGTGCAATATAGTTAGAGTTTCTTTGAAATTATCTAATAAAGTAACTGGGATATAATCCAAAGTAATTGCAAAGCCCAGCAGGAGATATAACAACTGTGCAATAACACTTGCACCTTAAATAACAGACATACTGGCTTTGGTTTTATGACTTCTGCTCTAGACGTAATAACAATGAGTTCCTATATATATAGGACATTTCAGCCATGAAACTGAAATGGTCTTAAAAAGGAAGTCGGTTTCATTACGCCCATTTACGGAACATGAAACCGAGGTGCAGAGTAGTGATATACCTTGCCTGTGGTTACCCAGCCGTTCAATGGTAGAGTCAATTAGAGATCTGTTTTTTCCTCAGACTTAATCCCGTACTGTATGCCAGCCCAGTGTGTTATCATTAGAGAGTATTTCTCCCCCTACCTAGTTGACACAACTAAAATGAAAGCTTATGAAAAAGTTAGCACTCT